AATATAGATGTATTAGCTCTGACTATATAGTAATTTCTAAATAAATTCAACTAAACTTTTGGCATATGTGTAGTGAAGGAGAACACAGGTGGGGCGACCGAACTCTATTTAACGAAAATTACAGAGTTACTCAGTAAAATAGGAAAACCATATCGTAAACGGTTAATTTGCAAATCTTCAATCAATCATCAATCCATTGTCTGACATTTCACTCACTGTTCATGCGTTTCATACAAATTCCATTGTGTTCCCACTCTTCCTTTCTTGATCTTCCCCCATCTTCTGCTGCCAGACATTACGTCTACGCACGCGTCATATACTACTTATAAGTAGCGCGCACGACATACGTATACTATTGAACATTGAAAACAATTATCAGGTAGAAATCATTTAGCGAATAATCACGAGAAAATTTCATGAATTAACATTATATTACTACTAAAAAAAATTAATGTTTTTACGCTATTTAAGCTCATTATAGATTCATTAATTCAGTGTTTTGAAATTTAATTATGTCTGACGAAAAAAAAACACAAATAGAATGAATGAGTATAAAATAAAATTTTTAAGAAAAAAAAGGGTATTTATACTCTTATTATGTGACATGTATGAATTAAATGAACGGAAAACTAATCAGAAATGTCAGTTATGACATATTTTTTATACACATGGTGGATAACATACAGTTTGCTGAAGTACACTACTAAATATGATATGATTATTTCTCAGTTGCATAGTTTTTAATTGATTCACTCCAAGCATAATTAGACAATAGTTATCTTAATTTAGTTTAACCGCACCTGACAAACAGGAAAGCTATGTTAGCTTTTGGAGGTGAAATAGAAGATCGATTGTAAAGTAAAATACAAACATTTGTGAAAAGAAAAAAAAGTGAAATAAGAATAGGGACATCGAATCGATCATGCTAGAGTAGACAGACTGACATCTGACAAGTGTATTTTTTACATGTGGGCAGACATTCGGATTACAGTCTACTTAAATATATGTACTGCAGATGATTCCAAAGGAATCTACAGCAGGTAGAGCAATCAGAATAGGTACCAGCCTATCCTTAACATAATTGTGCTTCATAACACGTTCAGAAGTTTGTTAAAACAACCAAAATCACTGATGAACATTAATGAGTGCTCTCAATCTGAAGCGTGATAGTTTTTCACAAGCATGCTTCATGAAGTACACAGATGTCGGAGACATAGAGGTACCACTGACATGTACATGGACATAGATGGGCACAGTCGCTAGTATACGCTGCACACATATATTGATTGTTTCGACGAGGTCTACTCATGTTATAAATGGTTACAGGCATAGACGTTCTCGCACGGAACCATACGTTATATGCATAGATAGAATGCATTGACTGATGTTCATACACTCCTATACGCACATAGGTATCAATGCGACTACCTTAGGCTAAAGCCCAGAGGCATGAGCTTTATTGATTGATTATTGAGTAGTATAAGCAGTTTAACAAATAAGTCGTCAGTCGACGATAATCACCTTTACACTTTTACTACGGTAGTGCAGTATCGACCCCCAAGTAGTAGTTACGACATAGCTTATGGTCATTACTTCCGTTTACCCTAGCCAGATCTAACGTTCTTATCTTTTTCTACACAGACTGCCACATTTAACTCAACAGCTCGCCCTTTTTCAATAATCAAGTCTACATAGAATGGATAGAATGTGACTAGCAGTGGTAACCAGGGTGCAAGTCTAGACCTAATTGTGACTTTTCAGTTGGTGTTCACTACGGGGTTGGAACCCAGTATAAGATGCAAGCTAAGGTTTGGATAGAGGAATAACTGTCCAGTTAATTTAGATACTCGTCTTGCCCAGTTTAAATCCAAAACAAATGATTTGGGTAAGTAACGGTCCTAATATTAATCATAAATATAAATATACATCATTATACAAAGAATATTACCGATTAGTTATTCCTTAAACGATTGTACAATCACTCAATCATCATTACCAATAAAAGTTATTCTATCCCTCCTGGATAGATCGAATTCGTTTGACAGATAATATTTGGTTGCTTTGTAACACAGAGTGTTTCCTATTCTGGAAGAATGTTTCAATTTTTCAATCAAAATGCACAATTCCAGTAAAAGCAAGCAACACAATCAAAATAGAAGCAAATCAATATGGGTGCGCCATGACTAAGGATCAGTTTTAACAACATAAATGCATTTCAGAAAGAAACATAGAAACTTAGTGAAGGCGAAAGAAATAGAAACTATAATAAAATACAAACATTATCATCTCAAAATGGAATCGAACAGATTAAAAAAATGTACAACTGAAGGAATTAATAAGGACAACTTACAAATGTTTACGTGGAGGGATTTTCCCAAACAAAGCCTTTCAAAATAGATCCTATACCCGGTACCTTACGATTCAAATATCATCGCGTTATCTACTTATCTACAGTGTACAGATAGCCACCCACTTATGCAGCGGTTATGAGATTTAATTCAATTTGAAATGAAAGCTTCATATCAAGCCAAAGACTATATTCAAAAACCAACCTACAGACTTTGACGTTGTTTTTATAGGAAACGTTTGTTTTTTCATTTAAAATATCAAGTCGGAATATAGATTTATTTCAAAGCCATATTTTACTATTGATTATTGAATAAATTCATGTTCATTACCATTTCAAATTTACGCAACGAATTTGTGACATTCATTTTCAAATATAAATTTTAAAAAAATAGTGAAATATATTTACTCATAATTTTTAAACATGAATAAACACAAATGAATTGTAACATAACATGATAATGTGAGAATCCAAAAAAAGAAAAGAAAAATTATATTTAAACAAATTCACAAACTGAACAATGACTATACTATGTATTTGTTTTAATTCAACTTTTTTTTCTAATTGTGTTCATTTTATTTGTCTACAACTTCAATGATGCATATAAAACTTAATGGAACATTTTTTTTCTATCATAGATATTTTTATACATTTTAATGATTTAAAACGTAATATTCAATGCTTCAATAATTCTGATTACCATATTGTTTTAATTAGATATACTTTGAATGGAAATTTGGCGTTGAAATCTAAATAACACATCTTTTTGTGGCCTCTGATCTGATTTTAAATTTGGTTAAATAAACGAATGTCAGTCAGTCAGATCCAACGTCGAACTTCGTACGTAAGTACATTAGTTCATGTTACCATACTACATTAGCACAGAGATATAATTGTCAATTCAAATCCAATAGTAGAAGAGGTAGTAAAGGTATTAGAAGTAATCAGAGAGGTTAGGATTAGAAGATATTATTCAAGAAGTATAATTCAGTGAGAAAAGTTTAGAAAGTCAAAACTAGAGGGGTTGAAGAATCCAGAAGATTAGGATTTGAGAGAACACAAAGAATAAATGCACCTGCGCCATTTCGAACGATTTTGAGCCATGTCATTCAAGGTCTCTAACCATCGATTATTATCATCTCGCGGAACCCAACCAGGTAGTCGACAACTACCGACATGACTCAGTCCACCTGTCAGTGACTTCATGGATTTCTGCCATGTTTTGTTTTGGCTGCCCCTAACTTTCTTCCAACCTACTCCTACACCACAAAACAAAGCTCGTCGAGGCAGTCGGTGGTCAGGCATACGCAAGACATGTCATAACCACCTCAACTGATGAAGTTTCACCACTTCATCTATTGATCTGCCATTCTTACCTAGCACCCGTTTCCTAATAACAGCGTTGCTCACTCGGGTGTCCCACGATATACGAGCAATGCTTCGAAGACACCTATGATCAAAAACCAGTAACCTACGAATATCTTCTACTCTCACTGGCCATGTTTCACAGCCATATAGGAGAACGGAGCGAACTGCTGCACAGTACACTCGTCCTTTGATTAGAAAACGGATATCTCGCCTACGCCATAAATGACGCAGGTTGGCAAAAGCCAATCGAGCTCTCTGTATCCGTGCTGAGATTTCGTCAGTCACTAGGCCATCGCCACTGATGAGACTCCCAAGCTTAGTGAAGCGGTCTACACGTTCGACTACTTCACTCCCTATCACTAGTTCAGGAGCCGATGCAACCCAATCTTGAAGCAACATTTTGCATTTCGAGGGGGAAAACCGCATCCCGAATATGCTTGCATTGTTGCTTGGGGTAGTCAGAAGACTCTGTATTTTGTTAGCGTCCTCACCAAGTAGGACTATGTCATCGGCATAAATGAATGTACAATGAAATGAATCTTCCCTTCAGTTTACGTATATTTCTCTTAGGCGAAACTGGTTTGTGCGATGGTGGTAATAAGAAGCCAAATATCGGTTCAATTAGATGAGTTTACTTCATGCAATCGTTCACACAGACAGAAATAAGGATAAAAACTATATAAGCAAAGTAAAACAAAGTGGAGAAGGCGAGTGAATCAAATCTATGTAATGAGGCATGACTAAAGAAGTAAGCAATGTATATACTCACTCGATTAAAAACAGCCAAGATATAAACAAACCAATAGACGAGGTCGACAGACGTATGAATAGTAACTCAAGTAGAATTCATCACTTAATTTGTTTAAAGATTTAGACAAGCCGTGCGGGCTTGACATCTCATTATACATACTATACATTTTCAGAGTGAAGTTTACAAGTTTGAAATGTTCTCCCTTCAAAAAAAAGATGGCGATTGTGTGAAATGAGAAAATTCAAACTAACATTATATTCGATTATCTAAACAATTATTTTTGCATAAAATACACTGTTGGGGATGTTAGATCCCCAAAATTCGCATGATAATGCCGTATTTTGGTTTTTACGTTTCGCCAGCAGGGGCTGATCAAATGACCTTGAGATTTCAATTCCCACCAGGAAAATCAATGGCTGTGATTGGCTACAGTGTATTTTAGTATGCTATTTTCTTAACTGTCTCAAGGACGTTGTTATGTTGTATAAATAAACGAGAGTTGTATGCTTGATTGTACTGGATTGCTGGGTGTTTGTAGAATATACTTTCTACGCCTACAAAGTCTTCTATTTCGATTCTGGGATTCAAGGTAGCCTTCCTGGAAGCTGGTAAAAGTCTCGTTCGCGTTTATCGACTAAGGTAAACTCGTAATAGCCTCAAGCATACTAAGTGACGAACATATCAGTGGCGACGGGGTAAAAACCATATCCACAAAACATATCAGTGGCGACGGGGCTCACAATTCACAATGTCAATTAACCTTGAACAGTTAGAATCTTTACTGGAACGTCAAGGTAAACGATATGAACAGTTGCAGGAACGTATGTTGGAGCTGTTAAGGAAACAAATGAATTTGAACCCACGAGATTGTTCGTTTTCTGAGACTGTTCAGACTTTAAGCCAACACTTTGGAGACAACTCGTCACTATTTAATACTCGTTATCGATGTTTGAAGCTTATTATGAACGAAGATGATGATTTTCTTACGCACGTGGGCATCGTCAACCGTGAATGCGAACGCTTTCGGTTGAAGTCTTTGTCGGAAGACCAGTTCAAAGCCCTCATTCTCATCTGCAGCCTCCAGTCGAGTAAGTTCAGTGACATTAGAACAAGGCTACTAAGTCGGTTGGAGCAAGATCCAAAGCTTACGCTTAATGATATGGCTCATGAGTACCAACGTCTCACTGACCTACAACGAGACTCGACTATAGTTCAGAGTGGTAGTTCAAGCCGATCTGAAATTCATTTGGTACAGCAGCCACCTAATCATTATAAGTCTGCCCATGCTACACCCAGTTCACCCCGCTCCAATTCGGCCCAAAAACCCAAAATGAATCCACCTTCTGCTTGCTGGCACTGCGGTTCATGGCACTATGTACGGAACTGCCCATTTAGGCAGCATAGATGCAGGAAGTGTAAAGTCATCGGTCATAAAGATGGCTTTTGCCTACAGAAAAAGCCAAAGCGATCCAGAAGTGCTAAGAAGCCTGTTCCTAGATCCAGTACCAATGCATTGAGCCTAATATCTTCCTGCCAAAGCTCATCACCAGGTGAGAGGAAATTTATTACCCTTAATATTAACGGTTATTTGTGTAGAATGCAAATAGATACTGCATCTGATGTCACTATCCTCTCACGCAAAAATTGGACCAAATTGGGCAGCCCAAGCCTGCAGCACACAACACAAAAGCCTCGTACAGCATGTGGTAATTATCTTCGTCTGTTAGGACAATTGGAATGTAAAGTTGCTTTCCGAGATTCGTCGTTTACTGGGGTATGCTATATAACGCCAGCTGATCTAAATTTACTTGGTTTAGATTGGTTCGACCAGCTAAAATTGGCTGATGTCCCGCTAAATACCATATGCAGCCTGGTATCACAACGACATGACCCAGAAGCGTATACGAAGAACCACGCAGAATGTTATCTGACAACCGCAGTTCGCGCATTACCGGTGTCTGCAACAGACATAAAAAATGCTTCTAGAAACGACCCCATCATCAAGATGACGATGAAATATGTCACTAACGGTTGGCCGTCAAAAAAGTTTGAAGGTGACATGAAGCAACTGTATCAGCGGCGGGAGTCACTATGCATTGTCAACGATTGTCTGATGTTTGGTGAAAGAGTAGTGGTGCCAGAATCCCTTCGTGCAAAAGTGCTGAGACAGTTCCATCTTGGTCATCCTGGGATTAAACGAATGAAGTCCATAGCCAGAAGTTATGCATACTGGCCTCACATGGATCAACATGTCACAGCGTTGGTTGAAAAATGCATGCGGTGTCAACAGGCGGCAAAGATGAATGCCAAAATTCCGCCGGTTTCATGGCCCAAACCTGAGCATCCTTGGTCCAGGATACATGTCGACTTCTCTGGCCCAATAAATGGAACTATGTATTTAATTGTCGTCGACGCCTTTTCTAAATGGCCGGAAATCAGCCCCGTTATGCCGCCCACTACAACTAAGACTATACAGCTCCTAACTGAAATTTTCTCACGAAATGGCATACCAGATGTGATCGTATCCGACAATGGCTCTCAATTCACCTCTTCCCAATTCCAGAATTTCTGTCAACGGCTAGCTATTAAACACTTACGCTCGCCACCATACTACCCGCAATCGAATGGGCAGGCGGAAAGGTTTGTGGATACGTTTAAAAGAGCACTGCTCAAGTCAAAAGGGGAGGGGACGCCAGCCGAAACGTTACAAAATTTCTTGTACGTCTATCGGACAACACCAAATGAATTGTTACCGGAGCAAAAGTCCCCAGCTGAAATCCTGATGGGAAGAAGACTGAAAACGATTCACAGCCTGATGCATCCGACCAATGCACCCTCATCAGTAGGGACAAAGCAGCAAAGACAATCCGCTTACGAGGTGGGATGCCCTGTGTTTGCCCGCGACTACAGAACGAACCATGGTCCTTGGGTAGAAGCGAGAGTGGTCAGAAGGGTTGGTCGAGTTATGTACGAAGTAGAGGTAGGAGGTGATAAATGGTCACGTCATCGCAATCAGATACGCAGACGGCTAGCCACAGATCGCCCATCAAGAGCAGAAAGCCTTCCCCTTGACATCTTGCTTGATACCTTCAACCTACCGAGAGCCCCGCCACGAGAAGAAACTCAGCAGCCAGCTGTTCTTCGTTCCCGAAGGTATCCCCTCAGACAGCGGCGAACAATAGTCAAGATGCAAGTCGACCCCAGGAGAACAAGCTATTAAAAAGGGGAGGAGTGTTGGGGATGTTAGATCCCCAAAATTCGCATGATAATGCCGTATTTTGGTTTTTACGTTTCGCCAGCAGGGGCTGATCAAATGACCTTGAGATTTCAATTCCCACCAGGAAAATCAATGGCTGTGATTGGCTACAGTGTATTTTAGTATGCTATTTTCTTAACTGTCTCAAGGACGTTGTTATGTTGTATAAATAAACGAGAGTTGTATGCTTGATTGTACTGGATTGCTGGGTGTTTGTAGAATATACTTTCTACTCTTACCAAGACTTCTGTTTTCCCGTTTGGATTCAAGGTAGCCTTCCTGGAAGCTGGTAAAAGTCTCGTTCGCGTTTATCGACTAAGGTAAACTCGTAATAGCCTCAAGCATCCTAAGTGCCGAACATATCAGTGGCGACGGGGTAAAAACCATATCCACAAAACATATCATACACAAAATCAGTTAGTTGGTGAGCTTTCGAAAAGAAAAAGCATTAAATTATACTTAGGTCTACTGAAAGTATATAAGAAGGAATTTAATTTCATTGTCCGGCGGAAAGTCTTAACTTTTAGATTTCTAGACGTTAGTTTTGTATTTGCACACAGTTGAAGGCGATTCACGATGGTAATATGCAGTTTTTCACTAACCTTGTTAGAAACTGGGATAAGTTTTTATTGAAATCTTGAAATGATGATTGTTAGACAACCACTAGAAACATAGGATCATTGGACAACCATTTCGTCTCAATGTAGGACTTAATAGCAGTGCTCGGCCGCGACCTCCACATGTGGGAGTCAAACTTTGGACCTTCTACTGCTCGCACGAACGGTCAACCTCTTGAATACTGATCAAGCAACGAACAGTGGTAATGTCTACCTTCAGTCAATCCTAGATGTTTCAAGGTGTGATTCATTGTATTCGGTAGATAACTGTCTCGCACACAACTCGGTTGAACTCCAATGGTCATGGACGATCACTAGAACCCTGAGAATTTTCTCACGAAGCTAGTCACTAATGAACACATTATGATTTGCATTACAGCGCCTAGCAATGATTCATTCACTGAAACTCAACAGTATCCACAAGCTTTTATGTCTGGCGAATCAAGTGACTAATTATTTTTTATGCGTAAACTATCTACATCCTAATATTTCTTATTAACCATTGCAAACATCTTTCCTAACTCAATAGGATTCTATTCTATACACTTTAAACGAATCTCGATACGACATTCAGTCTATTACATCTGCGATTATATTTCCTGTTAGTAATTTTTACCCCAGTCTCATAGAGTTTGACTGCTTGTAATAGTGTTCAGTAAAATACTGTCAATCATTCATGGATGCCCACAGCTGATTAGTCCCATGTCAGGAAGAAATGTCTATCCAATGCTTCTAGGTTTCTAATCGTAGTCTAACAATGATTCATTCATGGTTTCATGGCATCCAATACTCTCGTTATATCACTTATCATAAACAATTTGTACATCATTAATTACTCCATGTTTGTTTTTGTGATATTTCGAAATTTAACATTTTATGTTTTCTTATAAAATAGTCTAAAAATGATATTTTCTAAGAAAAAGTATACATTATGCCAATATTTATCAATCTTATACGTGACAGTATATCAAATTATTCGAGACAGTCGTGAATTTATGATTATTTTAACACGGTATGACAAAATGTCTAAACAATAATTGTGATAAGGTGAACTGGTGAATATGATACTAATATAATTCATTTATTTTACACAAGTAATTCATAGAAGTAATTATTTCTTTCAATTAAATATTTGAATAAACATAAATGAGTTATATATCTTTGACTTTTCACCTGTTTCTTCATCATAAGAATGAATGAAATAGGATAAAACTTGAAACTAGATTTGTTTAGCAGAGGTGGATAGTGGCTAGTAAAGAGATCCTGTCAGTTAGAATTACTTACATCTCAGAGTTTATGCTCTTTTCGATACTCCAACACAGTAACGTACACTTCAGACGCCATTGCGTTATTCACTTATCAGCTGAGTCCGCATACTCACTTCCTTGCCGTGTGGGGTGAAGGTTACGCCATATGTACGGGTTGTTTGAATCTTCCCAAAAATGCTTAGACCTTCAATTACGCAATTTTGTTGGCATATTTACATTGTGTGTTGATTGCCTCAGACTGAAAATCAGCTTTAAGATGAATGTATATCCAGCTGATGAACCACAGATTGGACTCTACCGCCAACCACTGTCCACCTCTGCTAATATTGATCGCATTCTCAATGTAATATCAAGGCTAAACACGCAGGATGAACATATTCCAAAATAACTGATCAATTTCAGTCCTAAACATCACTGAGAAGATTCAAACAGCCACAACAATTGAAGTTAAATGGCTTGCAGTAACTATCAGAAAACACTTGACGTTTTATTATAACAGTTTTCACTTGTTTTTACTAGGTAGTGTCTTTTAGCATTGTTCTCTTCTACACAGCAAAGTCACTAATCCGCTATTCAGCCTTTCTCGTCTACCTGGAATACAGACAGGTAGCAGTAGTTCTAGGTGGAACTGCTTCTCATTTTACTCGGTGACATTTTATAAGAATTGGAATTGATGCAGTCCATTCACGTAATTTATAATAATTATCGTTTTATTTAGTAAAATAATATCAATAGCTTTACATTTTCACGATAATATCTTCAATGTCATAAAACCCTAACAAGATACATATATATATATTTAAAAATCTTTAATTTTTTTCAAAGTTAACACAAAGATAACATAAGTAGAATCAAAAATTTCATACAAAATGTTTTTTTTATTATTTCAGACTTCTGCTAAATATTTTTTTCCCTCCTTACTAAAACATTTTCAATTAATTTAATTCGTTTTTAAATTCATTTAAAAGAAAAAATTAATTGAGATTGCACGAAAGGAGCTTTTTGTTTTTCATAGTACTAATCTTACATTAAAACACAAACTTTGTTCAATAAAGGAACATTTTTACAGAAAATTTATCAGATTATTTGAGATGTGCATTCTTTAAGTAAGAAAACCTTGACAGAAAGAAAAACAAAATAGTTTGATAACTAGATAATGTATATAAAATAATTGAACAATAAAAGTTAATGAATAAAAAGCACTTACTAACTTTTTTTCTTTGTAGCACTATACTACTCACTACCCTTACTTAATGTCATGGGTAGACAAATGTGTATTCATGGTTATCTTGTACAAAAAAACGATTAGAATATACTTTCTAAAGACATAATCATATAATCTATGAGATTATAACACTAAAAACAACCTATTTGAAGTTTTTCTAAATATTAAATCTGAGATGCAGTTACATTCAGCTGACGAGTCCATATGGCAGTTCATATACATCTGAGTTTGTATACATTTGATTAGGCTAAGCTCTGCTGATTAACTTATTTAACAGACAATCATTTGTAGAGCTGCGACCTATCTGTATCATTGTGCTTTCCTATCTTCGCGTTTGTATGTGTAGTTATGATTGAGCATTACTAATCGCCCATACACATGTTCATTCTACTTGCTTTAATGTTAACCTCTTGAGTAATCTTATGACTCATCCATTTTCCTATGTATATATATATATATATATAAATATGTA